CAGGATAGTGTTATAAATTAAGGAAACAACACCGAGTCTATTCAGCTGTGGAAGTGTTTTTCATTTTTCATTTGACATTCCTAAGCTAATCGCATGTAATATTCCCTTTTCAATTGTTTTGGACTTTTCCCTGTGTGGAGGGCTAAATCACCTCTCTCGAGTATTTAATTTCATTTCGATGGATTGTCTTGAGTTGTAGCTTTTCAGGGGAGGGGAGGCGGAACACCCAACTCTGAACTAAACGGCGATGCTGTCACTGGAGCGAGTCCTCTCTCTTTGGTAGCAGCTGCAGGAGCAGCGGAGAGACGGCTGCGCTGCAAGGGAAGGGGAGCCGGGAGCTGGGAGCCAGGGTGGGCAGCTGCCCTGCCCTCACCGGTGGGTCAGTAGTGGACGAGGAGGTCCAAGGTCAAGCCGGGAAACGCACAGCCAGCCAAACCCTTCGGAGCGGGCGGGAGGAGGCTGCAGAGCCTTTTGGTACACCCGGGGCCCTGACAGATCCTCTCTCCCTCAGCAGCAGGGCGTTTATCCTGTGGTTATGTCCAGTAAAAGGGCTAAAAAGGCAAGGAAAATACCTTTGGGGCTGTGTGAATGGCTTGTTCAGGGGCAGCACGTTCAAACTTTGGTCCTGCAGAGCCTCCCGTGCGCTGGGGCCAGAGCCAGAGCCAGGACCTGGGACCAGCCGGGGGAGTGGGAGCTTTTGTACACTGTACCCCTGCAACATGAGGCCGTCCCCTGCAACAAGAGGCCGTGCAGCACTCAGTGCAACTTCACATCTCGTCTCTGTTCTCTTCTGCTCTGTGAAAGAGAAGTACTTTGAACAGCAATTCCCTCCTCTCCCTTCATACCACCGAAAAATGGCTGTGGTGGCTGCAGACCCTCTTTGCTGCTTGGAGGCCGCCGTTGGTCTGCCTGATCAATGGGTATGGGGGCTGCGGGGTCCCCAGCAGGACCAGGCTGGTAGGTGCTCTCCACCCAGCCCGTGTCAATGCTTCAGACAAGTTTTGAACCACAGTCGTGCCCAACCTCTCTGCAACTCCAGGTACAGCCAGCATCCAGCCTGTCATCAGCTCATCCGTCCTCTTTCTCACCAACGTATACAGCAATGGCCCGATCTATTGTCTCTTCTTGAGTCCCAACCTCTCCCAACCTCTTTCCTCCTAACACCGAAGAATTGACGTATTCCTAGCCCAATTTTATTGCATTCATGATCGCGTTTTAAAATAATCCGGTGACGTGGGGATTGTTTTGTGTTTATTCTTCTCTGTCTTGTTCTTGTAACACAGGGCGGGTGAGGGACGTCTTTGGCAACAACACGCTGGAGTACACAGTTAATTTATGTCAGAGGCATTACGATTTCCTCGTCTGAATGCCCGAGAACATAATTATACACATACTGTCGTTTCTAGATGCTGATGACCTTCAACAGCTGTAAAAAACATGCAAGAAGTTCCAGCAGGTAAGGTCAGGTATCGGTGCTCGTATTCAAGGTCGCTGTTAAGAAACAGCACGAGCTGGAACCTCGCTTCAGTCTCATTCAGTAGAACCACCCGCATTTCTGCGGTAACCAGAGGTGGGAAGCAGCACAAGACAGGCCTGGGCACAGGTCCGTGGTAACAGGCCAGGTCCTTCATGCTGCGGATAACCTAAACCCTCTGTCTGGCCCGCTGGATCCTTCTAGCGGTACTTTTCTCTCTGTTCACAAGAGCTGGCAACTGAGACCTTGATTTAAAATAAAAAAAAATCCCGCAAGTTTTATGCAGAATATTAATATTTGACTTTAGAATATATCAACATTTTTAAAGAGCAAAAAGAAAGGAGCTCCCCACCTCTGCGTCTTTTCGTATCTCCTGCCTTCTGCACACGGTGGGAGGAAAGTATGGATTGACCGTGAGTCAATATGCCATTTTTGTACCAGCATCTAAAACCCCCCTGAAGTTAGCCTTTACTCTTTTGGAGAGTATTTCATTTTTCTAATCAAGGCTGCTACGTGGAACTGGGCAAAGAACACCGCACTCACAACTGCGGTCCGACGTCTTCTGTGCTTGTGTCCGTTTGAATCAAAATACTGTAATATTTATATATGTAACAGTAATGAGCCTCCGATAGTATTTACATAGTTGCAGATGCGCTACGCAAATGGGACATGTTCAGGAGATCAGGATGTGGCCTAATGAAGTGTAAATCATGAAATACACCTGGAAAATATTCGGGTTTTAGTTATGCAGCAGTGAAGAGGTTCGGGAGAGAGTTGAACTGCTAAGAGAGAAGCCAGCTCTTGGCAGGAAGAAGACGGCATTTTCAGTCTTCAAGAAGCTGGTGAACTTCAATGAAAAGCCCAAGCGGCTGCAGAGAGGACAGAGCGCGTTCTTTTAAGTCGCTTGGAAATTATCGGATAAGGCTCAATAGGTTTCCCATTTGTTTCACATATTCTTTCTTTCAAAGGGAACAGTTATAAGTAACTAATAATCACTTGAGAATGTGAAGTTTCTCCTCTCATCATTTAAGACTCAAACAGCACCACCAACTTGCAAGTCACACTTCCTGC